TGGTTCCAGGCATCACTTTGTTTATATGATCCCCTCCCCCCCTTCTCTCTCCTCCCCCCCTCTACCCCCCCCCCCCAATATGGCTCTTCTATACTGTGAGTTCCTTGAGACAAGGGATATGCTTTACTCACTTTGTACTTCCAAAAGGAACACAGTGCAGGGCATATGAGAGGTACTCTGTGTTTCTTAAATAACAGAAGTAACAAATGAGAAAAACTTTATGATTATTTCTTCTGAACTAGCAATTCTTCAGTTTAAAAACAGCCTCTTTTTTTTTTTGGGGGGGGGGGGGGGTCCGGTCATGGGGCCTGAACTCTGGGCCTGGGTGCTGTCCCTTAGCTCTTCAGCTCAAGGCTAGCGCTCTACCACTTGAGCCACAGTGCCACTTCTGGCTTTTTTTTTTCTGCTTATGTGGTGCTGAGGAATCGAACCCAGGGCCTCAGGCATGCAAGGCAAGCGCTCTACCACTGAGTCACCTTCCCAGCTCAGACAGCCTATTTTTTATACATGGGGAAGTAAGTCCTGAAATATACAACTCAAAGATACAGAACAGCAAAAAATATAGAGGTGTCTAATACATTTACCAACTTTATACATTCAATTTTAAATTGCTGAAGCGGTTGCTTCTGTACACCTTACTTTTGCCTTTCTAGGCTATCGATGTTGCTAATTTGGTTCCTGATGCTGGCTGGGACTGTGAGTAAAATAATCTGGAAATACTAACAGAAGAATGGAGAGAATCCAATATGATGTTGCCCAAGAATAATACAAGGCAGGGCTGAAACCAGATCTTCAAGTACTACTGACAATGGTTTCTGAAACAGGAATCAGAATTACTACTTAAATGTATCTGTAAGGGTGCAAGTTCACAATTTAAGCCAAGGACAGGAAACAAGAAATGAATAAAATAATCCTTTGGAAACCAAACAATAGTTACAAGGTTCATATACTAATTCTGGAAGGAGCATTTACAGAATCTCACTTAGCCTATTTCTCTATTTTACACTCACTTTCAGGAAAGGAGTCATCTGGGTTTCTATGCCATAAAAGGCCAGAAGGTACACATCTTCCCCACCCGTGAAAGAGAAGGCAAGCTGACTTTAACAAAATATCTAGCCGAGTGTTGGTAGTTAATACCTGGAATCCTATATACTCAGGAGGCTGAGATCTGAGGAATGAGGTTTGAAATCAGTCCTGGCAATAAAGGCTGTGAGACTCTGATCTACAATTAACTACCAAAAAGCTGGAAGTAGTGCTGTGGCTCAAAGTGGTAGAGTGCCAGCCTTGAGCAAAACAGCTCAGGGACAGCACCCAGGCCCTGAGTTCAACTTATGACCAACCAAAAACAAAAACAAATAAAAAAACAGATTCAATAACTCAGAAAAGCAGAGAGGGAAAACAAACTACTACTTCAATCACCTTGAAGCCTCCTACTGAATTAGTAAGAGACCTTAGGAGTCATTTTGAGGTAACAAAAATGTAAACTATTGTTAAAAAGAAATAACATATGGCATATTACAAGAAATTTTCTACAAAACATACATAACTTTTTATGCATAACTTATTTCTCAATGTAAGATAAAAGAAACATGGCTGCACATACAGAGCAGAAGTCAACAACTGAAAGCATGGAATAATGAGCTTTCTTCTACATCCTATACATGGTTCTTTCTCCTTTACACATTCATAATTTCATATTCTTTGACCTCCTCATATCATGTACCCAAAGTAGCATCCTCTCCTCTAAAGGGCTTGTTACCTTGCCCTGCAGTACAGGCCTTGCATCCATTGCTACTTCTTATATCACCCTGAGAAAACAAATGCATCCCTAAGATTCTTTACATCCAAAGACACGCATTTCTTCCTTCTGTTTTTGGTAAGAAGCACCAAATTAGAAGATCTTTGCGTTATAGTATCTTTAGGCAGTTCTAGCTGTTACATTGGCATCTTAAGTTGACCAAAAGCTGGTTTCAAAAAAAAAGCTGGTTTAAGTAGCAAGCAAGGACTTTTTTTCCCCCTGAATCCTGAGCACAATAATAAATTCTTAAGTCACAAAGTGGCAGCTAAAGGAAGGGAAAAAGTGTACAGGTATAGAAAGTTGCTGCTGGAGAAAACCTGAGGGAGGGATAACTCCCCTTTCTCATTCTCAACAGGAAGGATAAGAGGATGGTTAAAGTCAATGATGCCTACATGATCATTACCAAGAGCTCTAAGTTCCATTAAAGCAAAAGCATTGACTGCAACCCAATTGTTAACCTAGCCAGAACAAGTGGCTGGAGGAAGGTTGTTCAGCTAACCCTGACTTGGCTAAACTACCATACAATCATAGTACTGAATCTCAAAATAGCACCAGCAGATAGCACCCTTTACACAAACCCACCTCAACAGCATATTTACAACAGGAATCTGAAATACATTTTCTTGGGTTCTTTTTTTTTTTTGTCAGTCGTGGGGCTTGAACTCTGGGCCTGGGCACTGTCCCTCAGCTCTTCAGCTCAAGGCGAGTGCTCTACCACTTGAGCTACAGTGCCACTTCCGGTTTTCTGGCGGTTTATTGGAGATAGGAGTCTCACGGTGTCTCCTGCCCGGGCTGGCTTTGAACCGCGATCCTCAGATCTCAGCCTCCTGAGTAGCTAGGATTACAGGCGTGAGCCACCAGCGCCCGGCTTCTTGGGCTCTTTTTACCAAAAGAGGAACTAAATAACTTAGCATTAGCATTAGAATATTTGCTTTCTTTATTCTTTTTCATTTATGGATTCCACCAACAAATATCTACTGCACATATACCATGTACTAGGCACGATTAGGCCCTAAGTACTATAACGAACTGTAGGAGTTCATTATAACTGTGCTTCCTACTCCAAACCACAAAATTACCTGGAATTTAATCCCAGAGTGACCTGATTATCTAGGTTTAGAAGACTGTTTCCTTTTTATTGTTTGCAATGGCAAGCATATAAACAGAAGCTTTCTGCTTCTATTACAAAATTGCAGCTACCACCAAGAGACAACAAGCACTGTAGTAGCTATTTGGGTTATCAGTTTAAGAGCTGAAGTATCAGACCACTGAAGTGATATTAACACAAAGTATAGAAAGGTGATATCTGTCCTGAAAGGACATAACATTTTGTCTAGGAATTCAAAGTTCAGAAGCAATAAAAAACAGAAGCTTTAAAGCTGTGAGAGTTAGAATCTATACATGAAAACTAAAAGCCATGACTTATCAGCATAAATTCAATGACATAAAGGATTATGAAAATTAATGATGAAATAGTGTCATTTGTTTCCTAATCCTTTTGGAAACAAAAAACCACACACACAGGTATGTGTTTTTAAGTTTTCATTCTTGCAACGAAATGCAGCGTTTCTTACCAGATGTAAAGAAACAAACTGACCCCACATTTTCATAAGAAAGCTGTGAAAGCTCAAATCCCACCCCCCTCTTTGATAATGTCCCTTAGCTTTTTCACTCAAGACTAGTGCTTTACCACTTGAACCACAGCTCCACTTTGGCTTTCTTATGGCTAATTGTAGACTTTGCTGCCTGGGCTGGCACTTAGCCAGGATCCTTAGATCTCAGACTCCTGAGCCACCAGAATTCTATTTCCTAAACATCCTTTACCTCCATCCAATCTTATCACTGTACTTTATTATAAGTGAGGCTGGGACTCTGAACTACTTGCCCTTTCACTACTCACGTCAAAGGTGGAAGGAAGGGCATCTTGTTGCCTGATTCCACTGGATGGCCTGGGAACCCAAAGTCCAACATCTTCACTAATTTTACCTGTTATTAATTTAATACAATAATTTAAAATCTACCATAGACTGATTCTGAGTCTACACTACAGCATGTTCAGCCAATGAACCTCAGTTTTTCAAGGACTTGTCTGGATGATAAATAATACAGGTGGAAGTACTCTCAGTTTAGCTCAAAGGTTCTGTGTAAACTCAAGGAAATCTTAGTAACACTGAAACACACTAAAGTCATTAGAGATTTAAAAAACAACCCAAAAACCCCTGTGAAATCCAAGCGTGAATTTACAACACAAGAACAATAGACATTCTTAATAAGTATCAATCTTAACTGTACCTGCTTACAGATTATTTTATGAAGTCTTATCTTTTAATAGCTCAAAGAACTTATCTGTCTTCTTTCCAAAGTGAGAAATAAACCTCTAGAGCTAAGGCTGGCTGCGTGAAGATGTCCCTTACCTGGTCCTACATGTGGCAATATTAAGCATCTCTCCTGTTCCCAGATGATGAAGTCGTTTACTCATCCCAACGATGGGTAAGTCCTATGAAATGCCTAACTGTATGATGACCCCCCCACGCTCGGTCCCCTCCACTTCTCTCTCTCCTCTCCTCGGGAGCCTGGCTGGTAGGTAGCAGGAACCTGACTAAAATGAATCAAGGACGCGGCTTGACAACGGCTCACACGTATCATGAACGGCGGCGTCTGGGTTCGCTTCACCGAGGACCATCACACCCGGAAATGAGATTCCCCGGCGCAACCCACTCTGGACTACCATATGGTTTCCTTAAGTTGCGCCCCATCGCGAGCGCGGGCCCCGGCCCCCGAGGAGACCGCGGGGCCCCGAAGCCCCCTTCCCCTGGCCTCGGGCCTGCAGGTCACTCGGCCACGAGGCGGGCCCGCGGGGACCCCACGAGCGCGCGCTCCTCCCGGGCCGCCGCCGCCGCCGCCGGCACTAGGCAGGACCCGCGGGCGGCACCGCGGCCGGCTGCCCCGGGGGACCGCACGCCCGCGCCGAGCCCGTCCTCAGGTAAGGCCCGCACCTACGCGGCGAGGCCGCGTCCCTCCGGCGAGGACCGCCCGCAGGGCCGGCCACGGTCCCTCCGGGCAGCCGCGGCGCCCGGCCCCTCGGGGAGGGGCCCCGCCCCTAGGCGGCCGCCGCGCGCCACGCACCCCGCCCCGCCCGCACTTTCCCGCCCGTCGAGCCCGGAGCGGGGTCGCGCGCCCTTCCCCGCCCCACGCCGCTCACCTGTCGGGCCCTAAGCGCGCTCCATGGCCGCCCGCACGGAGCGGTACGGCGCGGCCGCGGCCGCCCCCGCCGCCTCCGGGGAGGGGCAGCCCCCCGCTGCTCTCACCGCCCCCAGCAGCCGCCGCCGCCACTGCGGCTCCCGCCCACCCCCGACCCTGCCATTCCCCGGCCACCTCTCCCCACGCAGCGCCGGCGGTCCCACACCCACCCTCCGCTTCCGCCGCCCCCGACCGTTGGTACGGTCCTAGCGTAACGCCTTTCCTGCGACCAATCGTAGGGCGCACTGGGCGAGGCTCCGCCCCCTCCCTCCGGTGGGCGGGGCCGACGGGACCCGCTCTGGACCGCCCCCTTAACTAACCCTTTCGGCCGCGGTCGGCGCCGGCCGCAGGCTACCACACCTCTCCCCCTCCTCTGCTTAGGTGAACTGGGCTCTTGCTCCTTCTTGCTGTTCTGTCCCATTCCTGCTTTTCCTTTGGCAGGTAGGCACCCAGACAGCGGGACTGGACGCTCGCAGTCCCCTTTGTGAAGTTTTGTTTGTGTGCAGTCTCTGTCCTGCTCTACCCTGTCAATTTGCCTTGACTTCTTTTGGGAGGTTCTGCCTAATGAAATGTATCTTCCCCAGACTACAAGCGGCCGACCTTCCTACCCTGAGCGCAAAGCGCTCTTGGGCCAGAGTAGAGCTCCTGCTACATCTTCAGTGTCGTGTAACAAAATCACGACATGAACTGTAATACTAGTTGCTTTACATTTGTCCCTTGAAATGGACTGTCAACTCCCTGAAGACTAGTAGTCTCCAGTGCCTTGCATCCGGATGAAAGACCTGAAATAGTCTCTTTCCTTTGAGTTGTTTGCTCTCTACTGACTTTACACAGAGCCACTATCTGCATTCACTCATCCACTTCTACTTAATCTTATCAGGTGATGACGTTAGTGTGGAGGGTGGGAACTGAGCTGGTACTTCTCTCAGGCATGCTAAGACTGGGTAGATATTCCTTCTCCAACCCTCAAGGCCATATAGCTCAAAGCACACAGGAAAGATTTCTCCCTTACTAGCTGTTTGATCTTGGGTATACCACTTAATGTCTCTGAGCTAAGGTTCCTTATCTGGAAAGTGGGAGTTCGGGTTACTTTATTTTATCTTTTGGTGCTGGTCCTGGGGCTTGAACTCAGGGCCTGGGCCACGTCCCTGTAATTTCTTTTTGCTTAAGGCTAGCACTCTACCACTTGAACCCACAGGTCCACTTCCAGCTTTTTCTATGATTAACTGGAGATAAGAGTCTCACAGGCTCTCCTGCCCCAGCTTCCTTCCTAGCTAGGATTGCAGGCATGAGCTACTGGTGCCTCATGGGAGTTAATGTTAGTACCTACTTCAAAGGGCATTATGAGAATTAAATTAAGAAATGTATGAGGAAAATACTTGCAAATTATTATGTGAAGTTAGTTGTTATTCATGTGTGTATTGAGCACTTCTATCAGGAGATCCTAGAGATATAATTGGGCTTGACACCCACCTCACACAATCTAGTTAGGGCAGCAGTATTAATCACTGCAGGAAGCATTAATCATTGTAAGGGTAATATAGTCTAATGCAGAAGGTGCTGTATCAGCCTTTTACTCCATGTAGTTGAAAAGATTTGAGGGTCGCTGTGTGACCATGGAATAATACATAATTCTCAGGAAAATGAACTGTATGGTAATGAGAATCTACCTTATTTCTTAGGTATATCTAAGTTTGTTTTTGTTTGTTTTTTGTTGGTCGTGGGGCTTAAACTCAGGACTTGGGTGCTGTCCTAAGCTTTTCCTCTCAAGGCTAGAGCTCTACCACTTTTTTTTTTTCCCCTCTGTCAGTCATCGAGCTTGAACTCTGGGCCTGGGCACTATCCCTGAGCTCTTCAGCTCTACCACTTGAGCCACAGTGCCACTTCTGGCTTTTTCTGTTTATATGGTGCTGAGGAATTGAACCCAGGACCTCATGCATGCAAGGCAAGTAAAGTTACCACTTTCCCAGCCCAAGAATCTACCTTATTTCTTTATACAGGAATAACCGTCTATCAGCAGAGAATCTCCCTCAACTTTATTTGCTACACCTGGAGATCACAAAGCATCAGGGAAAGCAACAGTTCCTCTAAGACACCTTTCCCCACAAAGCATTCTATAACTCTGACAAGGACAGCAAGGGTAGAAGCTGTACTGCCACTGCTCATCTTGCAGCCTGCAGCTCGTCAGCTCCTGGACAGATGGCCAGCTCTGTATTTAAGGATTTTTCAGAGGAGGAGGACACCTGGCAACCCAGTTCAGGGGGGTTAATTTCCCATCCATCCATCTCATGTGTGGTAGGACAGGCTATATACTTTTCTTCTGTTCTCAGAGATAGAGAGCTCTGGGCTTGGGCTTCTATGGCTATGTTTTTCAGACAGCATAATTGTCACTCACTAGATTACATTACCCAGGCTCTTTGTGACTGTACACAGCACCAGCTCTATGCATGACACCCTGGGATGTCAGCTTTTGCCCTGATTTAGGGAGGGAGCTTGCTGGACTAATACATAGGAAGCAGCTGCAAGGAATAGCAGACACTCAAAATATGCAGCACAGACTCTGTCATCACGGACAGAATCAGAGCCAGGAAGACAGTGAGGGCTGCTGATGTCAGGATGGTAGGACTGAGGTAAGCAAAACATGGGTGGGAGAAGAGCGGAACAATATGAACCAAAGTTAAGCAGTTCTGGGTGAACTTGTAACAGACATCCTGGGCAGAGGATGAATGGCAGAAGAACTCATGTAAACACATGAGCTCTTCATTCATATGTGCACCATTCACCTAATGAATGTCTACCATATGTTTGGCACTAAGAGCCAGGCCATGCAGAGATGAAGAAGGCCTGGTCACCATCCTTGAGAAGCTTGAGGATCAGAACCTTTTGTCAAGACTCTTGTGACACTGGTATCACCACCCATATGGTGCACTGTGGTTCTAAGTATCTGTCTCATCTCTTTGCTCTTTTTCCATTGTCTCTTAAAGACACACAATGTGATTTTATTCCATGGAGTGCCTTCTCCACACTGCTGTGTTGCAGTATTAAGTTGAAACCACCACAAGAATTAGGCAATCCTCTTCTAGCCAAGGTCAGTGGATATCGATAGCAGAGGCATCGAGATAATTAGCTAGAGTGTGGAACTCTACCGGGGGCCTTGTCCAGGGCCTTCAGAATTCAATGAGAACTCTAACTGGTATTTGTATTTATCGTCACTGTGGATCTCTCCAGGTCCATTATCTGTGATTTTCTTGACTTGTTCCCTTTAGGGCTTGTTTTGCTCTGTCCTTGCTCCCATGGATAAAATCACACTGCTCCTTCCTCTGGAATTCCTGCCTCACTCCGACTTACAGGAAGGTGAAACATCTCTCAGTCCCAGTCATTCATGAAGCCTTTCATGGCCTTTCCAGTCTGAAAATCAGCACTTCATTCATACCTCTCTGCTGGTATGGTTCATGTAGCTCTGCCTGATGGTCTTTCCAGTCTGAAAATCAGCACTTCATTCATACCTCTCTGCTGGTATGGTTCATGTAGCTCTGCCTGATGCCATTCCCATGCCTTCAGGGCCAAGGACAGGGTTGTGTTGAATCTGTCTCTTCTGTAGGGTCAGAATGATACATGGCTGTGGTAGACATGCCACATTTCAAAGAAAAGTTTGAGGAGAGGCGGCGGAAGAGCCCGGGAGGCCAATTGCTTGTTCTCTTCATCATTGTAAGATTTCTGAACACCATTTTTAAGTTTCAGAATTTTTAAGCTTCTGCCACTGTGACAAGCAGCCCTGGGGTCTAAGGAGAACACGGTCTCGAGATGGCTGCATACATTAAGGCAGCATGCAGAGTTTCTTCAGCTTCACAGTGATAGATCCCCAGAAACAAGTGAATTCTACCTCAAGCAAGTTCAAGGGAACCTTAGGAAAGCTCATGAACTGTTCCAAGAGGCTAGGGGCCTGGGGAGGTAACAGGGAAGGTCAGTGAGCAAAGAAGCAGGCACATCACAGTCTCTCCATCACCTTCCAAGAAGTGTGTGCTCAGCTCTGCTGCCGGCAGGCAAGGTCATTCTCTGCATGGAGCTCTCTGTGCAGACTTCTTCATTTCTCCCTCAGTGGAGCAGTTGCCTTCCTTTCTTTCATTTTTCCACTAGTTCTGAAGGTTACTCCTAGTCTTTCCTTTGCTGATGGTACCTCTATCAATGCCACCTGCAGAGAGCCACTCATGTTCATGAAGCGGGCCACACCCAGCTTCTCTGCTGGGACATTCAGGCCATCTATACTGAAAGTATTAGAAAATTTTCAACTAGTTGGGCTTTTTGTTGTTGTTGTTAGTGGTGGTGGTCATGGGCTTGAACTCTGCACCTGGGTGTTGTATCTGAGCTCTTCAGCTCAAGGATAGCACTCTACCACTTGAGCCACAGCGCCACTTCTGGTTTTCTGGTGGTTTATTGGAGATAAGAGTCTCAGGACTTTCCTACCTGAGCTGGCTTTGAACGGTAATCATCAGCTCTCAGCCTCCTGAGTAGCAAGGCTTACAGGTGTAAGTCATTGGCGCCCAGCTAGTGGTTTTTGTTTTTTTTTAAGACCTACTTTATTGAGACATAATGTACATACATAAAATTCCCTGGTCAAAGGGAATATTTACAGAGTTGAGCAACCATTATCATAATCTTAACTTTCAAACATTTTTATCACACAAAAAAAACCAATCCCAGTAATTGGATGCTTTATCTTCTCGATTCTGATAGTTATCTGTTTAGACAAAGGCACCTAGAACCACAGTAAAACATATGTTGATCTAAGCATCTCTGCCTTCTGGATGAAATGCACTGACCTTTGTGGTATGATCTCCTCTGAACCAGCCCCTGTGCTTCTCAGAAATGGGACCTAGGACTTCTCATCTCTGGGTAGCCTGAACCTAGCTCTGTACCCATACTTCTTTGTACACATTAAGAGTAAAAAAGAAAAATATACTAAGGAGAAAGCTGAAGTGCTAGAGTTGGTGAGAATGCAAAGGCATTGTGACTGTCTAAATTGTGCTTCATTTAACTACTCTATAGGGCAACAGGAATGTAATGAACCACTCCAAAATGTATACTTGGCAGCACTGTGTACTCCTCAGT